AGTGGGGGGCGTCTATTGTCGGAAAAATACGGTACTTGGTTCATTATGTTGGGGAAACTGAGTACCAGGCATTTCTACTCTGGAGAATTAGCTAAGTTCAAACTTTGATTCATTAAGAAAATATAATATTTTGTGATAGCTAATCCAATATACCCAGAACTGCCTGAGTGTGCAAATATCACAAGCATCTGTTTATTATAATTAGGTATTATAATTTTGGGGGGGGAGAGGAGTAGAAACCCACAATGTCATTAATGAAACCTTTATCAGCAGAACTAAGATGACCACAATCTGGCTTTTTGGCCATAAAACTTTCAATCAGAAGATTGTGCTTATCCCAAGTATAAGATGAAATAAACTTCTATTTATAGCAGGCATAAATAATACAAAACATATGGGTATTTTAAAAAGTTCAGGACATGATTTTTTCCCCCAAATCTCCACAATTTTTTCCTGTTCAGCACATGATTGTCCTGAATAGGAAAAAATTGTGGAGATTTGGGGGAAAAAAACCTAGATATTTTACTCATTTTCTGGTATGGTGTAAACACACAAATTCTAAAATAATATTTCTGGATATCACAGTTATTCAAATATAGCAGAATTACAGAATATGCAGATGTGTAATAAATATAATTTTAGGGAAATTTTCACATTAATCTATAGAATAGAGTGGTGCTGGATTAGATTATAGTTTATAAAAGTAGAGCTGCAATTTCTAGTCAGATCTTTTTAAAGATATGCCAAACTAGCTATTAAAAGTTAAATTGCTTCCAAAGCAATGTCATCTTACAGCCGGACTAAGCTAACTACACTAACTCCACTAGGAAATACCAAAATCCTGATACTCATATTAATACAATACCAATGGAGAAATGTTCCTGCTGCCAAGGAGTTTACTATTACAACTGTGCATAAAACAGAAAAGTGTGTTTTACTCAGAACCCAAAACAGCACCACTAAAACAAACTGAAGAGGTTCACAAAAATTTATAATCAAGGAACTTTCTGGTAGGGGAAGTTATTATTTGAAGCACTTCCAACAATATGACAATTTAGAGCTTCTGTAAACTAAATAGAACACTAAGAGAAAGCAGCAAATGAGCAGATCTTACCTCAGCTCAAACGGAACATGGATATACCAACTTGTGTCAGACTGATCTGTGGTACTTCACAAGTGGCACATACTTCAATTGAACTTAAACATAAAATGTTAAGGTAGCTGTTTGATTAAAACCGCACTCCAAAGTCTAATGCAGTAGAATTTTAAAATCAGGAAGCCCGATTTCCACATTGTGTATCTCCAGTGTATGCACAGAAACCATTATATGCATCCAACTAGCTTTGCTGAGGAGCAAAAATCACACACTGAGTGCATTATCTAAAATCTCAGCATTCCCAGGCTGGATTTCCAGCACTTGAGGAATAAGAGTTTTCAACTATGGATATATACAATTCTTAGAATTCTTAGAAACTGTTAGTTTTGTTTAATACAGTGTCTATGAACAGTGTACCTACCTCACAGTGGTAACACTCTACATGGTAATCCTTGTCCATTGACACCACACGGATAGTCTCATCAGAGCCCTATAAAAGTTTGTTTAAAGGAGAGATGCTGACATAGGTTTACATTGAATTGTTCTGACTCCTGTGAAACATTCTTCTGGCAAAAGTAAAATCGGAACCAATAAATGTATACTGCTACTATAAACATCAAATATCATTTAAAAAAATATTATAGATAAAACTATTTCAAAGTTCTGACAGTGGCTCCAAAGAAGACAAATCAAATGGCCAATTCTTGATTACATTGTTTAAACAAGATACAAAATTTAATATGAATCGCATTTGAGCATTCTGGGTTACCTGCCTAGATTCTCTGTCATTTATACTGGGTGATAAATGTTAATTGGCTGCTGAGAAAGCTTCTAGGAATTATTAACTCATGTAAATGAAAGCATCTGTATACCATCAAAAGCCCTGAGTCTTAAACTTATCAATATTATTCAAAAAATCAAAGGGCACCAACTCCAATTTATCCCAGTTTACATAACAACCAGACCATGTAATAATTTTTTGCATTAAAGAAATGATAATTGTAATAGAAACATGGGGTATATTAATATTATGTAAAGCATTATGAAAATACGGAACTGACTTTTACTATACTTCACCTACTATAATATATCTAATATTATCAAAGGGTTTAATACCTCAAACATGGTATTCTGAAACCAAATTAAAAGAAAAAGGAACAAAACAGGAAAGAAATATTCTTGACATCTCCCATAACACAAACTATGTATGAGATCCTCATGAAGAGAGAAAAATAAAACTTGCTCCAATTCAAAACCTTTCCAAAACCACAGTTAAAAAGAGAATCTTCTCTCATTTACCCTTCTGTAAATCACATAAAAGCTTTCCCAGCATCTTAAAAGATAAAAGCAGCTGGATCCTGCCTATTATGAGAAAGTGTAGAGTTGAATATTATCAGATTTTTGACAGCCCTATATAAACAACCAAATGGATATAAGCTGAAGGTGATATGCCAATTCTTATTGTTAATTTTTTAAGGCCACCAATGGCTTTTCATATTCCTATTTACCAAAACAATATTTCCTTAATTAGAACACAGTAAGAGGCACTTTCCCTTCTTGGGGAGAAAATCATCATATGAACTTAGGTTAAAAAGAAAAGATACAGATCTATTTAAAAGCAGTTCATTATATACTTCCAATTAAGTAGAATACAAAGAAATATAATTACTCACTTCAGTTGGCAGAATGGGATGACCACAAGCTGCACATTTTGGTGCCAAAACTCTTCATAAAAATAAAAAACAAGTTTCAAAGATGAAACAATCTAAGATTCAATCAGTTTTTAAATTGTTTCAGTGTCATTTTTTTTAAAAAAGTCATTTCTGATAGCATTTAAAATTTTACACTAAATCTCCAGTTTTCTTCTAAACTACAGTCTGATCGATTCCTCCATGTCAGACTACAATTCTTGTAGCCTTGCTTACATTTCTGCATATTCCTCTACTCAAAATAAAAGCATTTGCAAGAACAGTTGTGCTACAAGGCCAAACTATAATCTCTCTCCTTATTTTGCAATTTTTTTAAACTTGAGGGGAACATTCAAAAACAGCAAAGTCTAATAATAGCTTAAGCTGATATCATTCAGAATAATACTTCAGTATTCTGCTATCTCATTCTGCTGAATTTGTAGAAGAAGCCTACAAATGTAGGAAATCAGACAAATGTAGAGTTGAAAGCAGGTGTTCTATTAAAGGGATCAGGAAATAATGGCTGTAACTGACAAGTCTCATTGGCTATGCAGGCTATGGTTAAGGATGCTGAAGTCTGACATCATCTACTGGGCCACAGGTTCACTACTCCTGTCTTAACAATGAAAATAAATATGGCACTGAAATTCTTCACTTTTTAATTATTTAATTATACATTCCCTTAAGTTCTCTCTGAAAACTTCAATTTTTTTCCAATTTTTTGCTTTCAAGGCATGAAGATGCTTTAGTTTTATCCATCCATCCATCCATCCATCCATCCATCCATCCATCCATCCATCCATCCATCCATCCATCTTATATGGCTGCCCATCTCAACAAGTGACTCTGGGTGGCGAACAGAGTTAAAATAATATAAAACAGTTATAAACATTACAAAAGTTAAAATACACAGCGGTCAAGCAACATCAACTCAAATCACTAGCACAAGAAGTGGGTCCCTGCACACCCTTGGGGCCCCAGGCCCAGAACCAGGTCTTCAGGGCCTTACGAAAGGCTAGCAGGGTTGAGGCCATCCTGAACTCCGGAGGTAGAATGTTCCACGGGCTGGGCGCTACGGCAGACAAGGCATGTCTTCTAGCCAACCAACATTCTTTGATTTTATCAGAACATCTGCTACATCATAGCAATAATTTAGAAACAAGTTATATATCTATTGTTCAGGCCATGGTCCTCCCTTACTTAGAAACTTAAGTACTATTGTATTCTTGCTGGTTGCTTTAGTTCAATGCAACTTAACTCCACATATGAAACTGCGATAAATGCTTGTATTTGCATTTTACACTTTTTTATTTCTACCATTTCCTCACTTTCCTATGTCTTCCTGTGCCATATTTTAGAATGCAAGAATTTCAGTGTAGAGATCCAATACATGTTAAGGTCCCCTCATACATAATAATAAAAAATGCTTGATGATTCTGTTGGCTATTTTTAATTAGAACTGCTTCAGACTTTGAACTTCAAGAAGTTTTAGCAAAGAGAAGTCATTTAAATGTGATAATGGGTCATTTAAATGTGGTAAAAACAAAGCAAAACTTTTAGGGGACCTTGTTCAGCAATCCCACTCTATACAGCTGGCTTCTCCCATACAAAACCTTTCTTCACCCTCTCCCAGTTCCAGTGGAACTTGTAGTAATGAAGAGGGCTGATGAAACTTACTTCTAGAGGGAGAATATGATGAAAATGTATGTTCCTGGTATTTTGATGATCTTTCCTATGCCCCCATTTTCATCAAACACCAATGGTATTCCAAACCAATTTACTTGGACACAAACTATATCAATTGCAACTTTTCAAATTTAATTTTTCCTTACTTGTGGTAATCTCGGACACAGTAGATTTTGTTCTCACTGTCTACTGTGAATGGCACTCCATCAAGACAGTCATTACAAATCACACAGCGGAAGCAGCCTGGATGGTATGACTTTCCCAAAGCTTGCAAAATCTATAATAAGAGATTCAAAGTTTACTCCTTTTTTAAAACCATGCAGAGTTTTAAAAATCATTTCTAAAAAATGCAAAGGATTAAATGAATGTTAATCAGGACTGTATTCGCATCAGAAGCATGTGAATAGCAGGTTTCATCTTAAAATGGTGTAGTGTTGCCTAGAGCTTGGTAATCAATTGGGATTTATGCCGGGGAAAGCTCTTCATTTAATCAGAGTTTTACCACATGGTAATAGTCTCAGCATAGCATAACCACAGCAAACAGCAGCCATTAAAGAAAATCTCCATATTCGAGTTATAACATGTAAACCAGCTCTGAGTCTTACATAGCGCTTGATCTTATTGGACCTTAATTTTTGATACACTGGACAACTTCCGAGAATAGTGTCAAATCAGCCATTCAAATCAGTTTTTGAGATAATAGTAACCATACTATTAATGAATGCCAGGAGAAAATAATGTATTATTTCTATGCAAATTGATGTGATGTCATTGAGGGTCAATTCTTTTCTGCATTTATGCTGCTTTACTGGATGCTGCTTATGAGGACTGGAATCTATGGGAGAAAAAAATAATAATTTTGCCAAAAAACACCAATCTAAAAGTTCCAATATGTTGGACTGTACTGATTCATTTTGGAAGGAACATTTTGCTTGAGTAAAAAGGTTCCCCTAATTAGTCTGCAAACTGGCTTTAATTCATTTTTAACTCAAGAACGTATAAAAATGAAGGTAGCAAGTATGGTGTTAGTCAATAAATTTCATCCTATATAAGAAACAATAAGGGAAAGGCTTCTGTCAACAAGATGTTTGTTATAATGTAACATCTAAAAACAAGAAGTATGCTTTTTTTCTTTAAAACAACTTTTTCTTGTCTATAATTTTTCCTGAGGTAATTGAGTAAATGACTAAAATTCTGTTTAATTGACTAGGATTTTTAAAACAAGATACTAACTCTAGCTGTACTGCAAAATCCTTTTCCACCCTATTCAAGAGCCTACAAAGAAAACAGTAAGGATATACATAGGATAACTACAGAATATATAAAAACAAATAATCTCAAATATCTTGTTTTAACGAGTAAAAACCTATTAAAGTAGAAGAAAATTCAGAAAGATACCACAGGCAAAAAAACCATACTACTAATTTACTGCATTTTCTCTTAGTTGCTTACATAAATATATTTAGAATTTTTTCCTGCCTGTTCTTCTTAAAAAATAATACATCTCATAAACTAAATTGCAACATCGAATCAGCACATTTATCTTTTTGTTAGTGCATTATTCTACACTGTTCTTTTTCCCAGTGTGGCTTTTTTCACATATAAAATGTCCCTTACCATATCCATGATCAAATGGCCACATATGAAGCACCGATCAGCTGACTGCTGGAAGCCTGAATACTGCAGTTGGAAAAAAAAAAAGAGGAAAAAAAAATCAGAACTGTTTAAGTGTAAAGACTTTCTTACTTTGTAATACGAAGTTAGACCAGCAAACGGGGATGAGGACAAATGTTCTCCCCCAACCCTTTGAGTCTTAAAAGCTGTTCTCATTTGCTTACTTTTTTAAAGCTTCCTAAATGCTATACCATGTAGCGACTAAGAAAGCAAAGTGTCTAGTTCAAATCTCAGCTCAATATAAACATTACTGATCTCTTTTCCAAACATCCAGGGTAAATAAAGCTAAGTAGCCTTACTTGTTAGTGAGAGACACGTGAATGCTCAGCAAGTATACTTAAAACCCAAACATTTTTAGTAGAAGCACAGGCATCTGGTACAAACCCCAGTGACAAAAAAAATGATAAAATGCTCTTGATGATGTCACGTTGCAAACCCCACCCTTTCATACTTGCATCTTGATGTCAGACACAACTATGTAAGGCACATGGCTTGCGTCACAGTGCAAAGCGTCACTTGATGCAAGAGTAGAAGTGAGACAAGAAAATACACATTTGGTGTTCCTATTAAGTATTTTATATTCTTAGGGGAACATATGAACAACAATCTAGAATCTATTTTTATGCACCTGTAGCTATAAGCACAGGTTAATCATAAATAAATATCACAACAGCACATTTATGAAAGATAAGTCCTCGGTACTGATTGCTTCATTTAATCTTCTCATCTTTTACAGAGACACTTAATCAGAGGAAGTTGATGAGAACTGATTTTTAACTCTTTACATTACTCTTTAAATAAATCAAAGAGCGCATAGAGCTGCCTGTGAAATACATCCAGCCCGCAATTTTGCCGTGTATTGAAATACATATAACCTAGCCCACTAGCAACAGGTGTCTTGTGCTGCCATTTGTATATTGAATAGAGTCCCCTCACTGCTGACAAAAAAGAATATTTTTCCTCCGTCATCAGTATCATGGAAAAGACTGCAGCATACTCACCAGAAAGTCTTCTTCACAAAACACTTTCCCATTAACAAAATAAAAGGCTTTCCCTCTTAACTTTCGGCCTAGAGGGAAACAAAAACATAAAATCAAATGTTAAAAAATGAACAGTGCATATAGAAGCTAGAAATAAAAGTGTTCTGATGTATATACTGGTGCAAAATAACAACTCATCTGAGCAGTTCAGGTCACGAAAAAATGATGTGCTGAAAATTTATGCAGCCACGTACATGAAATAGGGATGGATTTTCCTTGGGCACACAATGAACTTTAGTTTCACTCTGTCTTCATATAGTTTTGCTCCAATATAACATGGGGACTCAAAGTTACCTTAGCCATGCAAAGCTGGGCGCATGCATGATTACACTTGTAATAAATAGAAAATAACTTCCCATTTCATTTATCATGTAACTGACACCATATTACTGTGCACACCTGAATGCACAGCAATATTTTAGATTGTAAGTCTTAAGACAGGAACTTTCTTGCTACACGAACAGCCTTTCTGGCTACAGGATGGCATAATTATGCTATAAAATATTTACAATGAAGTTTACATTCCAAATAAGAACACTGTCATTTAACAACAAGCTGCAATCAAGACCAATATTTAGTATTTTAAAGGCCTACATCTCACTCCTCCTTTTCCCTTCCTCTATGTTTCTCTTCTTGTAAAACTTAACTAAATGAGAGTGGTGCCTTTAACAGAAAGCCATTTAAGACAGAGCATGATCAGATTACTGAGTCACAACTCAGTAGTTAATCAATGCTCTAATGTTTGAAAATACACGAAGCCAACAAGAGCAGAATATATACATACAACTTCTTTTATCAGCTTGAGTTGAAGGAAACTAGCTTTTAATTCCTGAACTCACTGCATTAACATGGGAGGGCGCCTCCAAAACAGGTGATCAATGTGAAACACAATATACCCATATCTGAGATTTTGAGCAATTTTCAGTATTTTTCATTGCCAAATCTTTTTTGTTAGACACACAACAAGCTATGTAAAAAGAAGCATACCTGTGTCCTGTTCACAGTTGTTAGCATGAAATAAAAAAGGCAGTTTGAAAACCAGTATCTCAAAAATGATACAGATGCACACACAAGGATGTTATAGCTTAAACGCACTACACTGTCTAAATACATATAGGTCATATACGAATACATTAAGCTTTTAACAGGGGACAGCTGAAATCTCAATCTAACATAGCATTTATACCTAAAAGCCTGGATGATGGTGACTGGTAATTAAAAAAGCTGGCAGCAAGGCAAAAAAGCCTTTTTGGTGCTGGCATCCTCCTTGTGTTAGGCACACCTCAGAGAGGTACAGCAGTATCTACTTAACTATAATTTTGGCACTAGAAAAAAGTGCCCAGGCTTTTAACCAGCTAAAGCTATTGACATAGGGGCATGAGGCTACCTCATCTGCCTACTGAAACACTCGTATGACAACCAGGAAGCAAGAGCTAGAATGGAAAACGGAGTAATTAAATGTGTCAAAAATGGGAAAGGAGCATGCCAAGGTTGTCTATTGCCCCCTAATTTATTTAATCATATATATAAGCAAAATATATCATGAGAAATGCCAAGCCAAAAGAAATAGAAATGAGAATTTAAATTGCTGGGAGAAACATCAAAAATATCAGACATGATGGCTGGAAGTAAGGAAGACTTAAGGACTCTCTTGTTGAAGGTGAAATAAGGGAATCAAAACCCAGCCTGCTGTTCAATATTAAAAAGAAAGAAAGATATTATCAATAGATAATGCCAGCCCAATTCAATCAGACAGAGAAGTTGTAGCAGCAATAGATTTTATCTTTCTAGGCTCAAAAATTCACAGAGATAATGACCATAGCCATGAAATAGAGGTATCTGCTACTTGGGAAAAAGACTATGACACCCTATGACAAAATATTAGAGTGCAAAGAATCACGCTTGCAACCAAAGTACTTATTGTCAAGGGCATATTTTTGCCAGTTGTAACATATGGCCATAAAAGCTGGACCACCAGAAGGCTGTATAAAGAGAAATTGATGCCTTTATATTGTGGTGTTGGAAAAAATTCTTGAATCATTGCAAGAAGGCAATACTGAAATGAAGTAAGATCAGATTGCTCACTGGAATAATGAATCTAAAGCTTTGATATTCATTTTATTATATTACTCTTATTATACTTTATTTTATTTACTGGGGCTTTTATGCCACTGCAATCCATCATGATTTTGACAGACTTCCTTGGCTTTAGAATTAATTATGGAAGTGAGGTTGCATAAAATTATAACTCAATCCATGAAGTGCAATTGTATAATTCAGTATTAGTGGGTTTCCCCCTACTCTATAAATGCAAGCAAGAAGAGTGATTTATATGCTCAGAGTATTCTCTTTGATTCCAGTTTTCTTTGTAGGAAAAAGGGTGAAAAAAAAAATCTCCTGCAGTTGACATTATGGAAATGCAGACATACTGCTTGGTATGCAAAATTTATAACAAAATCTCTTTTATGACTAAAACCGCTATTAAAAGGTTACAAAACAAAATATGCCTAGAAACCTGTTTGTTGGTCTCAGTTCAATGATTTAAAAGTCCAAGTGATTTTAAAGTGGGCAGATTTCCAAAAGGGCAGAGCAAGAGAATGAATAATGAAAATACAACCCACTGAAATGTCCCTTTAATGGGTGCTGTACTCAGACCATTTTGGGGGGATGAAGGTCCTGAATAAAGAACTTATTTTGGAAAACTGCCACTATCATATGACAACCAAAGTCATTTAACAGGAATTCTGTGTTGTGTCTATTTTAAAAACTTGGCTGCAGTGCTAGGGTATGACTAGATGATACAATTTATATTATTACATTATCTATGAGAATGTGCCCAACAGACTATTATATCTTTGTTATCCATGGCTTTCCCCTCTCAATCCTAACACAAAAGGGGCTTGCAAGGCTCAATTTTGTTTGCAGAAACACACCTGAAAGCAAAGATGCAAAGACAGTGAGAGAAAAGCAATCAACACAGAGGAGCGCAATCTATATACAGATAGTCCTCATTTAGCGACTGCCTCGTTAGTGACCATTTGCAGTTACGATGGTGATGAAAAGTAGCTTTACAGCCAATCCTTGCATTTATAATCTTTGCAGGTCTGTAAAGCAAAGGAAAGCTGAAGTACAGGTAGCCCTCGCTTACTGATCAGTCATTCAGCGACCATTCGAAGTTGCGATGGCGCTGAATGAGTGTTACTTAAGACCAGTCCTCTAAATTCTGGCCGTCACAGCACCCCCACAGTCATGTGATTGTGATTCAGGCGCTTGGTGACCAGCTCACGCTTACAAAGGTTGCAGCATCCTGCCGTCACATTATCATCATTTGCAACCTTCTCTGCTGGCTTATCACAAGCAAAGTCAATGGGGAAGCCAGCAGGGAAGGCCGCAAGTTGCTTTGGTAAGTCACCCCAGCTTTCCTGTGCTTGAGCATTGCTGTCCACCCCCCAGCCTTCCTGAGCTTGTGCCTCCCTGTGCCATCCACCCCCGCCTTCCTGCACTCGTGCCCTGCCATGTTATTCATCTCCCGGCCTTCCTATGCTTGTGTGTGTCCTGCACACACAAAATCAGGAGAGTATTATTTTGCAATGAGTCAGAACAAATGCTTTAGAGGCAGGATAGGGGTCAGCAGTGGGTTTTAGGAGCAGCAAATATAATGCCAGTATAGTGTTCTCCTGACTCAATAATGGGTGGATACTTTACCTCAGCTGGGGATAAAATTTACTCTTGAGTACTGGCTACGTATTTTCAGCCTAGAAAAGTAATAGGCAATCTGGTGCCTTGCAGGTCTTTTAACATATTCGCTTGCTATTAGATATGCTGGCTAAGGGTCATAGGCTTTGAAGACTGCTCACTAAAGCAAGTTACATAACTGTGAAATTGATGTGAATTTAGTAAACTAATTATGAAATCAGCAAATCCGACTTAAAGAAATGATTGTAAATCAAGTGTGTCAATAATACCTTAAATGCTTCTTTCAGCTGTGAACTCTGCAGACAGAAAAGAACCAGACCAGAAGGAAAGCAGAGTAGGCTCACACGAAATTCCACAGGCATAAATCTACAGCTAATGATAAGCCCTGGAACACAATATTCTGGAGCTGGGGAAAGCAGGTTTTGGATTCACTACATAGAAAGCCCCTGCATTTCCCCTTAAGGGCTCAAGATCTGGCATCTACCTATATAATATATTACCCTTCTTTTGGAAATAATGGCCAGGTGGGGGAAGAAGGCAGGGAATGTGAACAACACAATAAAGCAAATCTTCTAACTAAACCTGAGGTTACTAGTTAGAATCACCCAATAAATCTGGAACTAAATCTACAGCTGTTAGGTAGGATATTCATATCTGAGAAATGATCATATTGACTTTTCATTTACAGGGCTCAAAACTCTAATTCCTCCTGTTTAACATCTATGTGAAGATGTTGGGCAAAGTAATTTATTGGTATGGGGTCACATATTATCAAAACGCTGTTGACACTCAGCTATTTATCTTGATTCCGGAGTCAGCCAAGTGATGTTGTCCAGGTCTAATTCCAGGGGCTAGAGGCTGTGAAGGTCCACATGGGAAGAAACAGATTTAAGCTTAACGCTAGCAAAACTGAGTGGCTGCATGGACCACCTAGATCTAGGAACTCTCCATCTTTAGTTCTGAATGGAAGCTGTGCTTTCCCTGATGGAACTGGTGAAGAATCTGGGGGTCTTCCTGCATTCTCAGCTTCTAGATGAAGATCAGGTAACAGATGTGCCCAGAAAGGCCCTTTCAAAGTATTGTCGAAGGCTTTCACGGCCGGCATATGATGGCTGGTGTGGGGCTTCCGGGCTGTGTGGCCGTGACCTGGAAGTTTTGTTTCCTAACGTTTTGCCAGCACCTGTGACTGGCATCTTCAGAGTGCAGGAGCAC